TCCTTGCATAACTCTTGCTCAATGAGTTGTTTGTCTGATGAAGCACTTTGGTTGGAACCTCATGAGAGATCTTGCTTAAGGTATCTATCAACATCAGGGCCCTGTACATTTATGAATTCAGATTTTTCTTCTAGAATGATTGCCAACCACGACTAGCAAGCCTAGTCTAACCTACTATTTAATGCAGAAGTAACAACTGGAATTTGAACTTGAATCTCCAATTTCTCATTCTGAGCTGCTATTCACTGCACCACCTGTACTGAATAAATAAACAAACAAAAAAGTGAAAAAAGAAAAAAATTGGCTTGATATTATGAAACTCGGCCATCACCCCAGATAGTCTGGATTTTGACCTCTGTAATTTGATCGTCTTTATTATTTGTGGTGGGGTGGGGGCATCCTTGTTAAGTAGTCCAAACATGTATATCTGATTATATTTGGATGAAAGGTGGCTATCCAATTGCTTATAAATTCACTTTTTATCATTATGACAAAGTTCAATTGATTTTAAAGGGAAAGATGTGTTCATGCCTCACATTAAATTACTTTTAGTTTCATATTTTTTTTAATCTGTCAGATACAGATACCTATGTATGCACACCTAGCTGTGTGTATTATATAATAGTTTTACTTTGCGATGAAGACTAAGGAAGGCTTTACACAATCATTACACTGTTTTTCCCAACACCTATTGGTTCAAGGAAACAAGTGAATATCTATCAAGTCTGAGTCAGAGGTTTTAAAGTGAAGGGCAGTGTGTGCATTACCGACTCTTAAGGTTTGTGCTGTGGTTCAACACAGTGAAACAGAAGTAATAATAATCTGATGGTGTAGGTTTTTTGTTGTAGCATTCTTCAAGGCAAATGACTGCATTGATTGTATTACATACACATATATATTCATATCAGCACTACTTAAATAGTGTGGTTTCAGTGTAAAAGAATTATTTTCAGAAATAGTTTTTGTTGATTAACATCCATTATAAGTTATTTAGGCCACAACTCCTGTCAGAATATAAAAAAATATTGATTTATCAATTTAGATGGGGGGAGGGGTCTTTTTATTATTGATACCATGTCAGATCCTTGATTTGAAGCATTACTGGTCTTAGATGAAGTCACTCAGTTGTTTGAAAATGTGCTACCATCATTGATATCGACATATTTTTTTTTTAAACTTTTCTAAAAAAAATTTAGGCTTTTTTTTTTTTTTAATGGGATTTTATTTTGGAAGCACATTCACAAACATTATAGGTTCATAATTATTAATATTAATTTATGTAAATTTTTATTTCTGACCAAAAAAATATGTACAGGGTGTGATGGGTAAATTGTCGCCATTTTTATATTTTTAATTTTGCACATGGACATTGTTTTTGATTTTGTCGACTACACATTAGGGTCATTTGGGCACAGTCTGTGAAAAAGAGAGCACCATGATGCAATTCACTCTGCCAGAAATTTGGAAACAGCATGCTGTACTGCCTGGCATTCACACCAGAAGCTCCAATATAAACATTTCAGAGCATTTAGGGGTTGGCAGTTCAGAAAACTCCCTCTGGTCATTCTGATAAGAAAAGAACTCCCAAATTTGTTACTAAGGGTCTCATACTCGACACTGAGGCCTACATCAAATGCCTTGAGGAGGTAGTGCTGCCCTGGTCAAAAGGGTGGTTGATGGAAGACCCTATGTCTGCCAACAGGATTCTGTACCATGCCACACAAACAGGAGAACCCAGTCATGGCTGCCAGACAATTTCTGCAACCACATCAGCCCTTACATCTGGCCACCTAACTCTCCAGGCTGTAACTCCCTTGATTATTATGTGTGGGGCACAGCTGAACGAGTTTTATCTTAAACCCACCATGCCTCACCCAAATTCATCTTTTGAAGTATGTTTTTTTTGTATGACAGTCGAAAAAGAATAATGTGATGAATTTGGTGCTTAACACATTTTTTGGTTTTGTTTCTCCAAAGAAGCATTTTGGGCATTTAGAAAGGTCTGACTCATTTTGAATATTCTCGGTAGATTGTCATTTAGTCAGTTCTGTTCGTAACAATAGAATACTCACATGGTATAAGGCAATTGAAACTTGTACACAACAAAGCAAAAAATGTCTTCTTGGAGTCCTACTGAAAACCCTTTATACTTTCACATAGAAAAAGATACCCAAAAAGATTATTTTGCATAACTGGGGTGCTTAAGACCAAGTTGTGTATGTTAGTGCTTGAGGCTGAGTTGTGTATGCCAGTGGCTGACGAGAACTGAGACACTTACGCTAACACTGCAGTTTATGATAATGGTAAGTTTAGTCATTTCCAGGAATCATTCATTAACCAAACAGTATTACTGTTTGTTGAGATTTATAAATTCTTTTTCTAAATGCTGTTTTCCAAGAAACTAGACTTCTCCAGTTCACTGTTATCTCCCTTTCTAGTATTGATTTGTTTCCTTCCAAACCTTTTCTTTTTGGTAATGTGATAAATTAACAGCCTGATTATATCATTTTCTTTTTTAGTTTCATGTGCTACCCATTTTAGCTGTTGGTAGTCTCCAAGAAATACAGTTCTTGTTACTTGGTAAAGTCTTTTGTGATTGTGTAGTGCCAATTGAAAGACTCTTTAAAATTTCAAAGATTTATTGATTTGAAACCCCTTTTTAATCATTGGTCCAAGAAAACGGTTGAATACAGATTACACAGAGTACAATCCCAAGAAAACCTTTCAAAGATTCCTTATGAAGAGTAGAAACAGGTTCTACTTTTTGAAGCTGTCCTTTGTACTGAAAAGTACCTCAACTGAGCCAAAATAAAATGTCCTCATCTTTGATGTCTGTATACCAACATAGGCCAAAACACGTTGAAATACTGGCTCCAGTATGATCATTGAAGTTAAGCTTTAAATAACCTGCAAAGGGTTAATAATCTAGAAAATAAATCAATCAATTTATCCCAACACAACAGACACCTGAAAGGCAAAAATGGCCAAAACAAGATAACAACAAAGTTGAAGATATTAGACCAAATGTAAATAAAAAAAATAATGGTAATTTCTCATCTCAGAAATTCAGACAGAAATTTAATTGATATATTTATTAGTTCAGTAGTAATTCAGTTTGGAATTCCCTGGAGGTTACTCAGATTAACACACAGCTACTGAAGAAGGCCAGAAGGTAGAACAGCCGAAATGTTGTGATAAGGACTTTAAATTATATAAATAATTCCTTATCCCCAGAATTCAAATTTTTTGCTTGTAAAATCTAGGTCAGCTAATGATGTATAGACATGTGCTGGGATTTAGATGGCTACAACTAGGCATTAGGTCTTTTTTTTTTTCTTGCCTTTTGACTTCTTTTTCATGGCTTATAACTACTTTGATGATACCAAATTGACCTTTGACAACTTCTTCAGCTTTCATCACCAATATATTCAGCTTAATTAAGAAAAAAATGTTCAAATGATTTCAGCAGTCATTTAATCTGCTGTACTCGAGAGATCATAATGTCTTCTCTCTCTTGAGATTGAATGAGAAATAATCTATCCAGTGCTGTCAGAGATTCAGTTGCATTGTTTCGCTGCAATGCTGACTGTTGATTTTAGAAGTAATTAACTGGCTTAAATGACATCATTTATGTTTGCCTATATATGATTGGTTAAAGTTTAAGTCTACACATGGCTTCATGGATATTAGTCTGATTAATCAAGCCGATATATTCATGTACAGGCGTTGTGATAGATAATGGAATGAGAAATTTGAGAGGCAAGTTTGAATTTCAGTCAAGTTGCATTCACTTCTGAAAAAAAGGTCTTGAGAATGGTGTTTGTCTTGCGGTGGGTGAACTTTTGTTGAAATATATATTTGCTGGTAAATTACTATCCACTAATGTGAATTGATTGATTCGTTTTCTATGGTTTATCAACGCCTTTTTAGCTTATTTAAAAGCAGAAAATATTTTCAGATTGTAAGAATATACATACATACATATATGTGTGTGTATATATATATATATATATATATATATATATATATATTTTTATTTTATTTTTTTTTTTTTTTTTTAGTGATACATGTCTTACTAATTAACCCAAAATGGGGGGAGAAGAGGTGGATTTATGTCTTTTTTCAAAGGCATTTGCATGTAAGTGAATATAATGAACCCAACTGGAATTGGAACTCTGCTCTTTGATTAACAATTTTGAGCCATTATCCATTACACCACCTGCACATCCAAGCTTACAACACCTGGTATTCCCAGATGGTCACCAATTTAGGTACTGTTAAGGCTTGATACTGCTTAACTTCAGTGATTGTAAAGGAACTAGTGTGATGTGGTCATAAATAAGCCTCCACTAATGTGAACCTTCCCCTTCATAATATACCACAAATTGAGGTAAAGGTAACTAATTTTTCTGGAATTCACTTTGGGAAAGGTATGAATTCCTCTCTTCTCCCACCAGCTATGGCTTAAATAGGAAGACAGATTAGGTTCTGTAGCCTTGGATGGCAGTTGATCTTCTGCTGAAAGTATTAGCAGCCAAGTCAATCTTGTATTGAAAAGAGATGTGATCTTCTCCTACCAAAAATCACATGTGGTGCCTAAGGAAGAATATTCGTGCAAGTGCAGAACCTGTGATACAGAACGGACTTGATGTTTGGATAGATCTTGTGAAAGCTTTGAGACATTTTGCATATAATTATGAACATACAATTATGATAATAAAGTGGACAGAGGACACAATTTGTAAAGATCAGTTAAAAAGACAGATGAAAAAGAAGGGCTTGGTGACAAGGAATGGTAGAAAATAGTAACAGTCTTTGTCCTGCTGTGGGTTGACTTTAGTTGAAATATATATTTATCTGAAAATTGCTATCTGCTTAGGTAGAGATCCTTTCACTTCAGAATGCACCACAAATTACAATCAGGTGAGCAAGACAGCTGCTTACATTATTTATATGCAGACTATTGTCACCATCTTTGTTCCACTTACAACTATATCATATTAAAACACCAGTTCTCATGTGATCACCAAAGTTAAGCAACATCAAGCCTGGATAGTACCTAGATGGGTGACCACTTGGGAATACCAGGTGCTACAAACTCGGATGTGCAGGTGGTGTGATAAATAACAGCTCAGAATTGTTAATCAGAGAACTGAGTTCCAATTCCAGTTGGGTTCATTATATCCACTTATGTGCAAATATCCTTGTGAACGGTATGAATCCCCCTCTAGCTATGGGTTAATTAGTAACCAGTTTAATGGATAACAGTTCACAATTGGAAATTTAAGAGCTGGGTCTTGAGAATTATTAACATAAGACTATTGATTCTGTGACTTTTGGTTACAGTGGGTTACAACTAGTGATCAGAAGATTGATCGGAATTGAGAAAATGAAATAGCAGAACTTTTGGAGATATCAGAATCAGAGAATCTTTGATTTCCAATTCCAAAAACAATTCTTTAGATTTTTTTTTTCTTGTTTAAAACTTAAGTTTCCATTTCCAGTACTAGTGATAAAAATATATAAACATTTATTGACTTTAAACTATCAGTAAAAATAAAATCTATAGATTATAATAATGACTAAGTATGATGTAAATTTATTTTACTTGTGTAATAAAAATAAAAAATAAAAGTGTGCAAGTTTCTACTCAGTTCTCAAACTTTCCATAAAGCTTGCAAGTTTAAAGTCCGTTTCAGTTCAAAATAATTTTTTTATATTTAATTTCTTTTTAAGCATTGTTAATTCACCCATTTTATATTATGAATTTAATAATTATAATCAAAATTATGTAATATGAACATAAAATGAATTCACGTTTTTGTATTGCCGAGCTCTTTTAAGACAATTTTTATTATTTTTTAATTCATAAAAAAGAAAAGAAAAGTGTTGTCTGCATTTAAAAACCTAGAAAAAAAAATTTAGAATTATATAAAATTTTACTTTAAAATTCAAATTTTCAATTATTCTTAAGTAAAAATAAAATTTATAATTTGCTGATTAAATCTGACAGAATGGTTTATTTTTGTTTATGTAGCATATTACATAAACAAAAATAAATCTTCTTTCCAATAACCATGACTTAAAAAAAGTAAACCTTCTTTTCATGAAAAATTTGTTTCTACAAAACTCATGAATTTCTTTAAAATTTTGCAGCTTTCAAAATGAGTATCACAGAGACAGTATAGCAATTTAATATTTCTCATAGTAAGATTCATATTCTCATAAGAGATAATATGGCTAATATGGCAGCAGTAGCTGTACATTCCCAATATGAGTCATTATGTTGTTTTCTTGTAGTTGGGCATTAATGATGCCATTTTTGCACAAAGGTATGTGAAGGATATGCTTTCTATTTGTAAACAAATTGTTGGTCACTTCAATCACTCGCCTGCAGCTTTTGCAAAGTATCAGGAATACCAGAAAAAAATTAATTTACCAGATCATAAATTTATTCAGGATGTCCAGACAAAATGGAACAGACAGTATTATATGATGATCAGAGTATTTGAACAAAAAAATGCTCTTATCTCATATTGCAGTGATTATGCAAAACCATATCATTTAGAATTCAACCAATGGAAGATTTTAGAGATATTACTGAAAATGCATAAACAATTCATTGATTGTAAAAATTTATTAAGTAATTGAGAAGCAACTGCCTCTTATATTATACCACACATTAAAGACATCACTTTTTTTAAAAGGGGAAAAGAAAAGGTACTGTTTGATGGGTTAAGTCCAACACATTCAGCATGGAAAGCTTTTTTCTTTTCTTTTTCTTTCTTTTTAGCGTTTCACCCCAAGCAAGGCTGGAAGCCACTAGGACGCAAGGGGTTACTGAAGATTTGGAGCAAGATCAGATAGGAGTGATAGAGGAAAGGATGAGGAGAAGGATAGTGGATAGATCAAGGCAACTGGAGATGTCAATTGACATTACATTTGAATAGTTGGGGATTATAGCTCTGAGGGAAACTGGAATAGGGAAGGGAGCTCCACAGGTGAGAGGTGTGAGATATGGAGCTATTTGTTGTAGAAGAGACGGCTATATTTAATAGTTTCGACAGTGAAAGGGTGAGAGCGGGATGCCAGCCTCGTAGGGTGCTTGAATTCATGAAGTCTGGGAACCAGCGAATGCAGCTCCTCTGAGCAATTACCATGAAAGTATTTGTAAAAAAGACGGAGGCGATGACGCATCTGTGAGAGAGTGACTGTAGATGAGATGCCAGAACAGGGCCAATTATATTGCATATCCGCCTCTGGATCTTATCAAGAACCCCGAGGCAAACAGAAGGGGCGCCAGACCATATATGCCAGCAATACTCCATGCAAGGGCGAATTGTTGATTTGTAGATGTGAAGGATCGATTCGAGGAGAAAAATTTCCTGAGTGCGGCTGGGAGCCAACTTTCCTTGCGGTGGGCCAAAGCAGTTGACTCAATGTATTTGTTCCATCTCAGGTCAGCAGTCAACGTGAGACCGAGCAGCCGCAGAGAGGTGCTCTTGAGAAGTTGAGCATCAGACATTCTTTTAATGCGAGATTAAGCAGTTACTTGGAAGACAAAAACCTTATTCTAGCAACATATCTTGATCCCAGGTTCAAGATAAAAATAAATATGAATTTATAAATAAAAATGAATTTCCCATCACGGTGCTTTTAGCCAGGAAATATCTATCAGCACCTCCCTATTCAGTTGAAAGTGAACGGTTATTTAGTAATGGAGGTAACATTTACTTAACAAAAAGAAATCGGCAAAAGCAAAACAGGAGAAATGATAATGTTCTTAGATTATAATTTAAGAATTTTAGGTCTTAAGTATGAGTAGCTAATTTAAATTTGTTCTTTGTTTAAACTCTTACCTAACTTTTGAAATAAAAAAGATACCTGTTGTGATGGAATGTCCCACTCTCCTTATCGCCTATTGTGGACTGATTATATCAGTAGATATATATAGTGTGCACAGGACATACCTGGCAGACTTGCTTCGGGAATTACTAGCTTGCTAACTGATTCCCTGTCTTTCAGTAGTGTATTCTCTTTTACAATAAACCTCTTTCTTTTATCTACACCAGTGTTGCTGTTCCTTTCACTCGAGTACCACCTTTGTCTATTTGTAACCTCTTTAAGGATACAATGCTAACTTAATTTCATAAGCTTTTTTTTTTTTATTCATTTTTCTACTAAATGTTTTATTAGTAAATGTACTTTGTTCATTAAGTTTCCCAAACCAACTGGGGGACCTGAAAATAATGAATTTTAATCATTGTAGATATCGAAATCGGAAATTTAAGACAGTATCAGGAACTGGATCGGAATCAGTAAAAATATTGGTATCATCTCATCACTAGTTACAACTAACCTTTTTATGTAATGCATATATCTACTGTAGTGTCCTATGAAGTGCGGGCACCTTGGCGTGGTGTAATGGTTAGCAAGCTTGTCTTGCTAAAACAGTTATGACTGAATAGTCAGTTTGATCCTCATTGGGTGCCCCATACTTTTGGCCTTCTGCCACATCTAAGCAATGCTTAGAAAATCAATACTCCTCTATGAAGTTTGTGGTCACAGCCTCACTACACTAGGTGTTGCTGCAGTGGTTTTAGCATCAAGTATGTTTTTACTAGGTGGAGTTTCTAGTCCTTTGTTCAACTGGTTTTGAATTCAGTTGTTCTTCTCAGAGACTGGTTTCCAACCAAGACCAGATTATGCTCTGCTATTGGCAAGGGGCATGGATCCATACCGTTCTGAAGAGACAGTGTGTGAAAGTAAACACAATGAAGTCAGGTGGAATTTGAACTTGGCATCAGAATGTGACAGTTGAAATTTCTAGGACACATAATGAGGAAAGAGGGCTTAGAAATTTGAACACTTATGTGACATATTGAAGGCAAGAGAAGCTGAGGAAAGCAGCACATAACCTATTTAATATATATGTAAGCTTTATTACATATTTCACTTGATTTTTTTTTTTCCCCATTTTGAAATATAATCCTGCTCTTTCTCATGCCATGGCGAGGACTGGTGCAAAGGTCTTCCCCCCCCTCACACCAAATCTATGATACAGAGGCCCACACTCTAATTTTCATATGGTAGTCTTCATACAAATTTTTTTCTAATCTAATTCTGTACAATAATGGATATTATCACATGTAGGTGAACAATTCAACTAGATAAATTGAAAACAAATACAGTGTATAGATGGAATGATCTAGTATGATGTGTCTCTAATTTGTATTTAGATAAATACAAATTAGAGACATGTCTTACAAGATCCATGTTTCATGGCAATTTTTAACTTGAATTTTTTTTCTTGTTAAAAAATTGAATAATTTTAAAACATTCAACATTATGCATAAAAAATAATGATTTTTTTTTTTTTTTTTAATATATAGTTTTGTTGTTTTTTTTTTTTTTTTGTTTGTTTTGTTTTTTTTCCAAGACTTAGCATGAGCAAAACAAATTCACAGATTTGGGGGAGGAAAATTTTTTATAAATAACTGAATGACATCAGAATCCACAAAAATTTTTAATACTTTATAGTCAGTTGTTTAGTTTCATTTGTAATATAATGTAGGTAGAAAAAGTCAAATGTTGATAAGATAGTGAGGGTCACAAAGCATTGCCCGTGGTAGTATGCACCAATTTTGGTACATGGTTTTCGAAATACTGACACAGTCATATTGGAAACCTATGTTTTGTTCTATTTTTTTTTTTTTTTTACTTTGTGCTAAAAGCACTTTGGCGTTTTTTTTTTTTTGTTCTTTCAAATCTTTTCTATTATTATTTGTTCACATTTCTTCAACTTAACATGTCATTATTTACTCCCACTCATTGTTACCTATTCATTCTTTGTTCAGTTATCACACCCCATTATTAAAAAGAAAGAAAGGAAACTATTTTGAAGTGTTCTGACGTCAAAGCTGATTCCTATGGAAACACTTTTTTTTTTTTTAATTAGAATTATATTTTTCCTCAGATATTTAGCAAATTGATTTATTTATAGAATTTCATACTCTATTTTTAGCCTTGCAGTGCCAATCAATCAACTCTCCTTTGTGTCCGCTAATCATGCTTCGATTTTTGGCAATATTTTCC